GGGAGGGAGGGATGGATGGATGGATGGATGGATCGATAAGACAGATTTGTTATTGTTGAACACCTTCATCATAATTTTATTTAGAAGTCGAGTCAGTGCTGTAGTTCTCACGTAGACCAAAATACATTTCGGGTACCTTACCTCAGGACAGTTTTTCTTCCACGCGCTCTACAATTTTCTCAGCTATCTCTTTGGCCTTTGCTGCCATGTCGTGTGAGTAGACGTCATTCGGAATCTGAGGGTAGGACATTTTGTCTGGATAACGCATACATGTGGAATCACCCACAAGATTTTCCAGCTGTTCCGCTAAGTCGGCTAACTCTGGGTCTTCCAAACCGTAGCAATTGTCAACCAAGTTGTGGACATTCGTCTTGTCTGCGTCTTTGCTATAACGAGCAGCTTTTAACGCCTTTTCAGCGGCCTGTAAAGACAAGCCAATCCTATCAGCTTTCTTGTAAGGCTATTAATACTTTCCACCAGCAAGGTGAGGCACTTTTAATTACATTGTTTCTTATTTAATTTTTTTTCACTTTAAACCTATTTGTTTGACTTCCATAAAAAATGAATTCGCTCAGAAAATTATGCCATGAAAGTAAGGCTGCAAATATAAAGCTACGTAAGATTTTATCGACATGGATGGCCTCCATGTGGGAGCGGACAACACTAGACGCATTTATTCACGAACTCCGTTATAATCACAACAACAACGAGACAGGTGTTCTGCACGTTGTAGTGTTTGTCTCCATGTGTTTATATTTTTTGTGTGCCTGTATTTCAATCATAATATTATCTTTATTGTTGTTAATAAAAGTTAAATATACCTGATGGAATTTAAAACACGTCCACTCAAAAGAAGACATGGAGAAGTGAAACTCTTCTGAACCGGCGTTGAGGTCAGCCTTAGCTTGCCTGAGCCAGCGCTTGGCCTCTTGTGGTTGAGGATTCCTGGTGCAGAAACTTGGAGGGAAATTCCGCAACGATCTTTTACACAATGAAGATCCCCAAGAGCCGTAGCGTCTACAGAACTTCCTTTTGTATTCTGTACGCTGAGAGCCATGTTCTCTTGCACGCTCTCCCCAGGAAGCAAAGAATTCGTCATATGAGCCACCGAGTCGTGAAACTTCACTCGCTATGTGTTGATAAACTGAGCTATAGAATTCTTCATTACCTGCATTTTTCTTTGGATGCCATCGCAGACACAAGCGCTTGATGATTTGCCGTCTTTCTTCTTCTGATACCTGAGATTCCCATGCCTCTCCCAACATCTTCGAGATTTCGTCAAAGACTTCTTCCTTACTTCTAAGGCACCCGGAATGCTCATCAAAAATTGCTTTGAGGCGGCAAAATTTAAACAATTTTGTGGCTTTCACCTTAACCAGCTCTTTGTCGTTTCCAATGTTGATACTGTAAGTCTTTGTCAAAAGGCTTACATCTTTATCGGTTACTTCTTCGATAATTACTGCGTAGATGTACGTCGCAGTGCCCTTAATTGGGTTTAGACTTGGATCATGTAGCTGAAAGCCTACGTATTCTTCAGGTTCAAATTCTTCAAAGGCGTTGTCCAGCAAATGGTGGTCTTCAATTGGAATCAAGGTGCCTGGCTCTGGGTAAAGAGCCATTTGCTCTGTATTGTAGCTTCCATCTTTGCGAATACGATGTGTATCCAGTAGAGACTGAATCATCGCCGGAGGGCATTGCAACATTTCAGGAATCACAAACGCGTTCTTTCCAAGATATTCTCCATACATTTCGACGATCACTTTAGCCACCAAAGTTGACAGGGAAATTTTGCTATCTTTTGTAGTGGTTGCATTGACATACACCCTCCATATGTGCCTATCAGACATCTCAATTTTCTCTGTGAAATAGGGTACTTCATCTTCACTTCCACAGATCAAAACACCATTGTGAAAAAGGGACGTCCTTAGACTCTCAACTGCAAAGAGCTCGATGGCTGTGAGATCTTTTTCAATGTCTACAGTTACTCCTTTGTCGATATCCTCCTCCCGAGAATTGGTGTGTCTTATAATTCTCGCAATCCCAAGACCAAAATGAACCGACGAAAGCTGCTGTTTCAACGCGTTTACCACCCCTTTAGTTACAATGACGGTATTCTCTGGATCAGCTAGTTTCTCCTTGACCACTGAGGATAGCATTATGGGCTGCAAAGGTTGAGGCAATTTCATCAATAGGTCTTCATAGGTGACCTCGGCAGATTTGCACTTCACGTTCATCAAGTTAAGGTCAAGGACAAAAGGTTGATTAATTCCCTGGATCCGATCACCATAGGTAGGAGCATCGTCAAACACAAGTTTCTTTGATTCCTGTAAGGTAACCGGGACTGTATTGATTGACGCATTCTGGACGGGGCCTCTTGAAGGCATTGATGGAAGGTACATTGTAGAAAGGGTGGACAAGTCTGCTGCCTTCTCCTGCAAACTATCAAAGAACCCTTCGACCGCTCTGGAACAAGTGCGAACCTCATTTGGCTGTAAAAGTTCACCCTGGGAATTTTTCTGCAAAATCTCTAAGACCATGGCGTAATGGATAGGTGTTGCAGTTTTGGAGCAGCCTAGGAACTCAAACAACGGATGAAACATTCCAAATTCTGGAGGTAGTCTGTAAAGAAAAGGCCTGATCTCACGATGCTCGTACAATTCCAGGATTGCCTGCCTTGGGAAAATTAGCTTCCTTCCTTGTTCAACCAGAACACAGGGTATCTTTTGGAGTCGCCGCTTTGCTTCACTGTCTTTCGTGGCATTTTTCTGCAAAAACGAGTAAATACTCTGCATGACCTCCGTTATTGTTGACAATTCCTCGCTCGAAACATGCTCTCTCTCTAATTCATTGCCTCCAAGATGGTAACAGATTCTCTGGCAGTGGTTGACGACAAGATCGACGGATGGCTTCGCCGCAACCTTAAGCTGATCGAGAAGGTTGTTAAGGTCTCGATGAGAACAGCGGAGATTGTATCTCGGATCCGCCCAGCGTGGAAGCAAATGCGCTTCTGTCCAAGCTATCTTTTCATGGTCGCTAACAACGGCTCCACTAAATGCAATGAATGGAATTTCACCCCTTTTTTTCCCCCCATACGGTGGGCAGATCGCCTGTAGTAGCTCGTCAACAGGATCTGCTGCCACAAAGGCAACATCACGGACAATCGATAAGAGACCTTCAAAAACCACATTGGGTCGAGAGATGAGATGACAAACCAAGACTTCAGACTTTTTGTAAGTGTCGTCAGTTTGTGCTGTTTCAGCTTCACGCTCAACTAGCTTGGCAAACTTCAGAAAATTGTCGTGGGAAACATCTTGAACAAGACCAATCTTCCTCAGAAACGTTAGCCATTCCTCGGAGTTAAAAGCTTCAGGCGGAAAGCTGTCTTGTGGCAACATGGCAGCGAAAACATTGTTGTCAGGGTCATAGAAACTGGACACTTTCTTTAACGTGCCGTCTTTTGAGGGAATGAGTTTCTTCGCTTTCAAATATTCAAACAGCCTTTTCTTCTCAGTTGCTTCATGCTCGTTCTCACTTCCACCTGTCAAGGAAATATAGTCACGAATAAATCGAAGATGAGTCAACCTTCCGTCATGGCTTAGATGCTGAAAACATCTCAGGACAAAGTCTATATAAACTTCAACAGGCGATGCACTCTTCAGCTGTAAGAATCCGAATAGGTCCGACAGTTGTTGACGAGACCTCAAAAGCAAGCAGCTCAGCTTAGACTCAACGACACACATCTCCTTCGCAGGGATTTCACAGGGTATGACAAAAGCCGTTTTTCCTTCAAGATTTTGCAGCACACCATTTGCACTTGGATAAAATGGGAGCTTCCTCAAAATTTCTCTGTCGGCATCCGTCAGGCTTTCGATGTTGTGGCTGAAGTAATCGAGAACGACAATCGCATCTGTTAATTTCAACTTGTTATCAAGGGACGAGGGATTCCACTGAAGTTTCTGATTGAGTGCAAAAAGAAGGGAGTGGGGAGAACTGACCGTGGCGACTAGATTGCGTGCCAACTCGTAAGAATCTCGTTTACTGTACAAAACTGGACCAATGCTCTGGGTTGTTAACGCAGCCGTATTTAGTTCAGGTAAGCCCAAATTTCTGAGAGCGTCGACCAACTTCTGGCCAGTCGTACCGCAACCTTTGAAATCCAGAACAGCTTCAGCCTTATTCAAGGGTATCAGGAGGTGAGTTACGCCTGGCTGCTTGTCGCTAAAACACGACGTCTCAGTGGATGGCAGAAGACACCATTTCGAAAGTGGGGAGAAAAGATCACGAATAAATGCAGCCATAGTTTCTTCTTTCACATCTTTTTCCTTTGTGGTAGTGCGGGCAAATTCTTGCAAAAAGTCCCAAACTCTGCGAATCCAACGTAGACTTGGCAAGGAGGCAGATTTGTTTTCAGGATACCACTTTAAGTACTGATCTTCGCTGTGATAACAGGGAGGTAAGGTTAGATGCAACTGGGAGGCGAACGTTTTGACATCTAAAGGACAAAAAACAGTGACGTTTCTAGGATCAACACTGCTGAAAACTTCCATGCGAACTCTACTGTGCACGAAAAGAGGCTCCGAACGTGGTAAAATATCAACATAGGGACTCAAGCATCTTGGTTGTCTCTCGCTGAAAGGGTGCAACCACTTATCTTCAGTAAGTAGTAACGGAAGTCCAGAGAGACTCTCCAGAAAATGCGCGTCATCTTTGCAGTACTTAAGCACACAAACCACGCCTTCGATGTCTTTGAAAGGTGTCTTCGTAACATGACAGGGAACTGTTCCAATTCTACAAAGGGGATCATAATCACTGAATGACTTGTAGAAGTCCATCACCGCAGCAGGTGAAACGCAGTACACTTCTACTCCTGCCTCTTTCAGCGAATGGAACACGTCTAAAGAAAATGCCAGCAGATTAAATCCAGTTTTCAGTAGTATTTCTTCAAATGCGGCTTTCCGTTTTAGTCTGGACTCTTCTCTTCTCTTTCTATCGTCTTCCTCTTCACCGCGTTTTGGCGGCAACGGGGCAAAATAGCCTTTGATTTCGAGGTTGTTAAAGTACGTTTGGTCCTTGTCTGTACCAGTCGTTGGAAACCATGATAATTCGACACTTTCAGTTCGTTGCAAATCCTTGGCACATCCACGATAGCCTGCCTGCCCGCTTCTCACCAACGGAATCAGACGCATTTTCTTCTTGTTCATTTCTTGGTAGACTGCGTCAGCCAGGGTCTTCCAACATGGATCATTGATGGGATAGCTCGGAAAGAGCCGTTCATAACTTCTTATTCTTCTGAAGATCATAGTTTTACTGCAAGGCAAAGCAGAACACGTCGAGTCGTGACCGACTGGTAATTGAATGTATTCACGTACTTCGTCCAGAAGGGTGAGATAACAAGAAGCAATGACATCACGCAGTAAAGCACTGTTCCAGTCGCTTTGATAGCCACCTACTTCGCCTCTCCACAGATTTCGTCTGGTCTCATGGTCTAGCGCAAAGTGCCCGTTGATATGAACTGGAAGTTTGGTTCTCAGTGGAAGTGGGAGGTAGCAGTACGCTCTCTTTTCTCGCTGAAACTGAGATGTGCAATCCAAGAGACTTGCAACACCACCAAGTGGAAGCATCCCCAAATGATGTCCTTGGGAGGCATCAAAAACACTTTCTGGTACTGGCTTTTCGAAGCCAACTTGTTGGACAATAAGCCATTTCTCGCTCATCCCATGGTTATCTTTCAGCTGCAAAGTGTAGGTTCCCCTTTTGAACTTTACGTTTATAGGAAGAATTTTCTTTTCCTTTACTTGCTTTCCAATCTCTTTTACATAGCAGGAAAACGCTTCCCTCTTCCTCGCATCGTCTTGGGACATCACTACTTGAACGGAGTAATCATTTATCAGCTTTCCATTTTCGTCTAGAGCAGCAATGCTGATTTTCGTAACGTTGTTTACAAAAAGTAGGACTTCAAACAACTCTTTCTTCAGATTTTCCATCATCTCATCTAATTTCTCCTCGGTGACCGAAGTCTGACATATCTGTGATTCTCGAGCCATTGCCTCAGATTTTAAGGGAAACCTAAACATGGTTGCATTCTGTACGGGAAACTGTTCCTCGAGATAGCATGGAAAAACATCTGGAAACTTTTGCCTCAACATGTCAATGTTCTTGAACATTCTACCGGGTCTTGCTTCACTCGAGTGGGGAATGTACTTGCAGTGTGGGTCCAAAACACAAAGAATATCTCCAATTTCCTCGCTCTTTGATATGAAGGACGGGACATCAGTCAGCTGGTAGACAGCATTGAAACCGACACCGTACTGGCCAGTCTTGTTTGGATCATCGCCTTTGCTGCCCTCACCAAGGTTACATATACCTTCAATATCAGCATTCGTGAATGGCTTGTTGTTGTACACACACAGTGCAGGACCTTGTAGAGGTTTCCAAGTATCTTTGAACACTCTTTTATCTGGGTGCTGCCTAGGATCTTTGATGAAATAGATCTCAGTTGCTTGAGCATCATCGGCATTTTGTAGAAGCTCTTTCAAAACTTCTTTCTCGCCCTGATACCCTGTTAGAATGCGCTTCAATCGATTTGTTAGTTTTTCTTTTTGTCCAAAGGGTAATCCAATGTCATGTTGTTGCAAGGCTTCGTCCCTTCGTGTTTTAACAGCCAGTTGTTCACAGGTTGACCAAGGGATTTTCTCATGGACAAAAAGTTCGTCTGGATCATCAGGCATCCATGGACATTCCTTGAAGCAAAGTTCAACTACGTCGCGCATGACTTTCGTAGAATCTGGAAGATAAACACAGTCCAATTTGTCCCGCACCTCACATGCATCAACACAAGCTCTTTTTAAGGCATCAGCGAGTTGATTCGCCATATTAACAGCCACCTGCAGGGTCGTCTCATCAAGTTGTTTCGTATTAAACTGCAGTTTAATTGCGGAAAGACTTGAAATATAATCTGTTGCCTCAAATTGCTTCCTCACACCAGAAAATTTCATGATCTTCGGAAAGCGAAGGCTTAAATTCGCTGGAAGTTTGAAGAGGTATGGTGAACAATCAGCGCTTACTTCAAAAGCGACACGGGATGCAGAGGTGAACATCTTATCTTTCTCCAACAGAATGAACTTCATTCCGAGCAGGAACTGCTTTGTTGAAGGCACCAGGCTGTCCATTTTGTCTTGTAGATACGAATAGGCTTCGGAGCAAACGCGAACTACTTCTTCATAGCCATTTCGATCAAGTGTGTCGATTTTGGTGGAGATGGCCCTTTCAAGTTGCTTTAACACGTGCTCTGCAGTGACCTTTTTGTCTTCTAGCCGCAACAGTTTCCGCATCTTCTGGGGGACTTCCAGATCAATAATCGGTTCAGTACAACAGACAAGGTACATCTTATCCATAAGATAAACGTTCTTTGGTGCGACCAGAGGACTCCTTCCACTACGAAATTCGTCACCTTTCCAAGGAAGTGGGAAAGACTCTGGTTTTTGCAGAACCGGCAGAAATTGTGCTTTTAGAAGGCGAGTCAACACTGGTCTGGGTGGTGATTTTCCCGTGCGCTTCAGTTTCTTCTCTACGAAATCTAACAGCACTTTGGCACGTTCGATAGCTGCCTTGCTGTTCCCTGCATTCAGCCTCTGGACACTCTCTGCTCTTTCCGCAATGTCTTCCCAAGGAAGATCACTGGACTTCATCCCCAGTTCTTCAAGTTTCGTCAGTACTTGAGGGTGGAGAAACGTATCTTCTTTACCGCAGGGAAACCTTTCATCGTCACCGCAAAATAAAAAGGAAGCTTCTTGCTTGGGATTTATTAGCTGACTCGGGCACTTCAGCGCATTTCCATTTGGTGATACTGGAATGCAAGCATGCCTCATAATTAGCTCGTTGAAATCTTGACTGTTGCGTTTCAAGGCGTACAACACTAGCCTATTTCTCTCATTTGCAGGAATTTTCAAAATGTTAGGGAAGAAGAGATCGCGGAAAAGGCGGGTCTTGTCGTATGTGTTGGCTTTTATCTTTTCTCCTAGGCGACAACGAAGCAATGACTGGAACACCTCAGCTGGCACGTCAATGACCACACGACCGTTTACCAATTGCTGTAGGACTGCAAACGAAACGTTGCCTATCTCGGGATCGCCACGGATATTAGGATCAAGGAATACGACTTGAGAGATGTCTGTCCATCTACGTCCGTCTGAGAACAAATGATGACTTCCACTGGTAATTTGCTCGTAGAATGACTTCAGAAAGGGCCAACAATCTTCGCATACGTTGCAAGCTCTTGGCCACAGTGAATGGTATGCATATAAACTATCGCCTGGAATAATTTTCTTCACATCCTCAAGAAGCTTCAAAAAGGCAGAAACTACCGAATCGTGCAGGAGAACATTATTCCACTCCACTCCGCAGCACGTCTTGTCGTCTTCAAGTTTCTTCTGCAAGTGGCGTCTGTTAGAAGTCACTGCAAATGGTCCATTTATGTGTACAGGTAGGCCGCTATGGATTGGGAGGGGAAGATAACAGAAAATTGTGCCACTGTGGGCCAAACCCTCGACATCCTTAACAACAGGTAGGGGCACAAAATTGCCTGATCCTCTTGGCTCCAACTGGGCGGCTACTCCAGCGGATGGAAGAAGACTGGGGTCATTCTTGGAAAATTGCAATGCCTGACCATTGCCCATTGAGGAAACAACAAGCCAAGTTTCGCACTCTGCACAGAAACGTTCGTGAAGTTTAAAGAATTTCAATCCAGATTCAGTGACACTGCCGTCAACGTTGACTATCATAGAAGATTCAGGAAACACAAATGGTTCAGCTACATGACTTCTTGCTTTCTTTGCAACTTTTGAAGATGCCTGAAGGAAGTTGCACTGCTTAAGCAAATTCTGTTTGTCTGCATCTAATTTCATTGCAGTGACCGGAAGTGTGACCGGGACAGACAATTTCCTCATTATTCCTCCTTCCAACATTGATTTGGTAAACTGAAACATCAGTTCGGGTGGTAGACCTTGACCTGTCGATTGTGAAGTCCTGTGCACTTCCAAATGGAGAACATTCTGAGTAAAAAGAAGCAAGGACTTGCCTCTGTCAAGCAACATTTGTAGAAGCTGCATCACTTCTTGGTCGCTATAAAACAATTTTTTGATTTCGCTCTTTGCCGCCTGTTCTCTCGTCCTCAACGGAAAGCGAAAAAGTGTGCCATCAAATAAGTTGTCTTCTTTGTCTGGGTGAAGATTACAACCAAAGATGCCATTAAACGGTTTGAACTGATCTCTAAACTTGCGCAGTACCTTGACGTCTTTGTTCAAATCAACTCTTATTCCTGGCTTCCTGTTGTTCTTGATGACTTTTCCAAGGTACGAAGTGTGGGGATCAAGTATCACAAAGTAATTCCTGCTGACAAACATGGGCACATCAGTCAGATTATACACTGCATTGAAGCCAAGTCCAAATCGTCCAATTGTTTCAGTGTCATGAACTTTCGTCGCTTCATTCAGTCTTGTCACGTTTATGAAGTCTTCATCTTTGAATGTTGCGTCGTTGTACACCCACAAAGCAGGTCCCTGGCAGCCACTCATGTTCTCGTCAAATAAACATGTTAATGCATCGTCGTTGGTTCTTTCGTCGTACAAGAATTTGACTTCAGTGGCACCAGCATCGTCCGCATTTTGAATGAGCTCTTTTAGTACTGCAAATCCATCTGTATAGTCCTCTAATAGACGATTCAGTCGCGTGGTGAGTCTTTCCTCTTGTCCAAACTCCTCCCATAAGAGCGGCTCATCCGCCATTAAGCATCGGATGACAGTTTGGGCGGAGTCAGCTTTCCTATTAAATAAACATCTTAGGTGACATTTCACAGAAGACGAAAGCTATACTATAAACTACACTCAGTTTTTAGTTTCAGTTAAAATCGAAATTTCTAAACAGTAATTGACGCTGCTCACTAAGATATTTCCCCCCAAAAACCATCAGCGTTAACGACTTTTTAAGGTCCTAAAATAAATAGATAATTGAATATATTGATATTCAAACCCTATATTTAATTAGGTTTTTTCGCTCAACAACTGAAATGAAACCGTTCTGCTATCTAGTTTTCTGTGCTCCAAAGATTTGTATTCATAACATGGTTGGAGAACTGTTTCAGATACTGTTCTCAGCCAAAAGAAATCAAATCACTTCAAGAAGTAAATGAGAGAAGTACATGTGAAATACATGGGAAATGCATGCGAAATCTCTAACCCATGTGCAACTCTATATGGTGAAACAAATGCACACCAGAAAATTTTGAGTTTCATATGCATGTGAACTTCTCTCCTAGTGTCTGAAACTGGAAGTGTATTAATCAAAAGAAAAGTGTCAAAAATAAAACATTATTCACCTGCCGTGTGAAAAAAAAGAGAAACAAGTGTTTCCCAAGTGTGAAATTTCATATGGTTGAGAGAGGTTCAAATGCTAAGAAAATTACACACGTTATAATGTGAAAATATGTGTAACATTCTCCTTGATAACTAGTCACATAAAACATCAGCTAATTCCTCGTGTTTATGTCTGCGAGGTGTACGAGCTAGCTAATGGTTCCATTTTGAGTTCCCTAGCATTCATATTTCGAGCTATAGAAAAATAATTGGCCAGAGTCATCCAAAATGTCGCCGGCCCGTATAATTCATCAACAATGTAAGGAGCGTCTTGATGAGCCTGATGAACGTTAGGAAGGATTACCAAAGTTAAAATACAAGGGATCTAAATCAAAGTAGGATTCATATATGCACATTCTTTCCCAAAACAAAGACTGTCAGTACATTCGCCTTTTGACAGCTTAACTTATAAGGAAGCTCGCATCAGTTCTTTTGGTCTTGGGGTGTGCCAGTTGAAATCAAAATTTCCTGTAGAAGACAAGCCTCGATTTCCTTGACTCTAAAAATATTGTCGAGGTATGATCAAAGATTATTTTCTCATAGGTTTCCAAGCAACTGCTGTTACCATAGCAACGGTAACGAGTGGACGCCCATTTTGAAAAAGGTCAATTATCTCGAAATCCAGTCAGACACTTTATAAGGAAACTTAGGGAGTATAAACCACTCAAGTCCCACAACTTGCAGGCCGATTTAATTAGGAAATAAAATCTGTAAGAGCGTTTTCAAGAAACAATTGCTTTGAATTTCACAAATTATATGTTTGTTATTTGGTTCTGTTTCAGCTCTTATAACATATCATTACTGCGGTTCTGGAGAATAGTTTCAGTGGATTTCCTTTCTCTAGATTTGTTTTTGGAATATTTCAAGGTAAAACCTCTAATCTCCATTTTAATCAGACCCCATGTCAGATATACTTTTACTTGCAATTTTCGAGTTCTGCACGCAACAATGACACTTAGTTTCATCGTGAAGAAGTGACTGATTAAATGCCCAAAACCCTGGGTTCTGGGTTTTGAGTTCTGCACTTTTAAAGTGAATAAAAATAGCAGAGTGGTCCGTTTCAGGAGCGAAAGCGACTGTGCATTTGTTGGTCAGGTTCATTAGCTGCCTGGAAATTAGAAAATAATCGAGACGACATTGTATCTCAAAAGACTTATTTCTCCACGTAAACTTCTCTTCGTTTGGGTTTTGTTGCTTCCAGATGTCAGTTAGGTCATACATATTACATAATATATAAATTTCTTGAATTACTGGTATTTTCCGGGAGAAAGGATTGCCGCTCTTCTTATCTATGTCAGTCAGACATCCCGTCTAAAATTATGTATCTACGGATTTGTTTTTCAATCTTGAAATTTAATTTAATTTTGGATGAAAGAGAGGAATCGGGCAATCGGGCAGTCGGGCAATCGGGCAATCGGGCAATCGGGCAATCGGAAAATCGGG